TTGACAGTTAAATTAAATTTGCATTTAAAGTATTATTTTTTTAATTAATTTTAGTTTTGTTAATTTAATTTTTATATAAAATTTAATTTGATAATTTTATTTTATAAATAAATGGTAATTGAAAATTTTTTTCTTTCCAAACATGGTACCTATTTTATATTTTTACTTAGATAAAAAAATATTCAAGTGTCATTAATTTGTTTATATAATACATAAAGTTAGTTAACGTAAAATTAATTAAATTAAGAAAATAAAAATAACTAAAGGGAGTAATAAATAATTACAAAACTGTAAACTTATGTCTAAAATGAAATTTGGCCATTTCAATATGTATTATCCTGTTCTTTGAAATTTTTAGTAATTAATAAATAATTATTTAATTGTATTTGTGGAAAAAATAATAATAATACACATCTAAAAAAATGTAATTAATTTAGGAACATAACAAAACTTTATATAAGGAATGATAAAACAAAAGAAAATTATTGCTAATGATTTAAATAATTTAATAATAATTTTCTTCTATTAAAAGTAAGAGAGTCTAAATTTAAGTCGAATAGTATGTAGGTGAGATGAATTAAGAGATAGGAAAGGATTACCTTTCATTGTACAACTCAAAATCAAAAATAAAAAATAAAGGAAAATTATTAATATATTCTTCAATTTGATGTACCTTTCAACATGTTGAATTCATTACTAGATATTTAAGTTTGTTTTTCTTTAACTTTAGATTAAAAAATAATGATTTTTAATAAGTATATTATATAGTGTACTAAATCAAAAAGTATATTAATTAATATCTTAAAATAAAACAAGCAAATTTGACTTAATAAAAAAATGAGTTAGAGATGAAGTTTTAATGTTTGACCTAAAAATAAAATAGATATTAGTAATTAAGGTTTAAAATTTAATGATCTAAGGTTTTTTTCTTTTTTTTTTTCTTTTTTTAGGAAAGGGTAGAAAAATGTTAAAAGTTTAAAATTTTTCTTGTTAATTTTTTGGCCAAAAATATTCAATATAAAAAGATTATTTTTATAGTTAGTAGATTAGCCTTAAAAAATTATTAATTATTATGTCAATATTTTGTTTTAAATTTGATGATAAAATTTTTTAAAAAAGTTAATAATTATTATTTTCATAAATATTAAGAATAATTATGTGACTAAAATAAAATTTGAAGATAAAGTTTCTAAATTACAAAATTTAAGGACTAATTTAAAATGGAATGTACTCTAATAAAATTAATTGTATTTTTAAGTATAATTCTCATGTAGGGTTCAATTCATAATCTTTATGAAAAAGAAAAAAGAAAAAAGAAAAAAGAAATAAGTCTTATATATAAGAAAAAAAAAAAGAAATAAGTCTTATATATAAGGGCCAATAAGAGATATGAGTTATAAGAAATTAGCACCAATTAAATGCGATGTTATGAGGATTGATCTCCGTGAAGGAATTACAAAAAATCTCATTATCATTATATAAATGCATGGTATTATGGTGTGTTAATCATTATTGTAATTGTAAGTACATACTAGAAGTTATATTATTACTTGATGTATAAATACTAAGAAAAGTGGAGAGATGAGAGAATAAAAAATATAAAACATTTACAATGAATTGATTCATAACAAAGAAGGTTATACTTGCTTTTTCTTTTTGTATTTACTGTTGGTGCACTTATCCACCAGAATGATCAGCCAAAAAATTTTCTCTTGGGAGTGAGAAGGGTACTTCAACCCTTCGTTTTTTATTGTTATTACTACATCCCTTCAAGAACACAGAAATTTCCAAAACAAAACAGATGCCAGGATGTCAGAATCACAGGTGGGAATGTCTCACTCAGAAGAAAGTCGACAGCAACCTTAAAAAATAGGCAAGGTCAATTGAAAAAACTTGATAATCCAGGCTAGCACTTTCTTCCAAAGACATTCCTTCACAGTTCCGTACCTGAACCAGAATCAACACTGAAAATCTGCAGAAATAAATAACTCTTCCTGAGAAGCATGTCCAAAGCAACTACGCCTTCCTTATTACTAGATTCTCATCAATTGCACCCTTGATAGAGCAATAGCAGTGCAGATTAAAACATTAAATGCATCAACATTAAGAAGGAAGCTACGGCAAGCCACACAGATCATCCAAAAATCCATAGTTCCAACTAGAGAACCACATTCTGAAGCAAAATAGCAAGCCTCAGCATCCGAAAGCCTTATTAAAGATTGGCATTTCTCTCACCAAAAACTCTACAGAACGATAAACTCTTAAATGTCTTAAAGCTAGAGAACACAACAGACATGTAAAGAGAGGTTTGTAGTACCATATACTTGCTGATAACAAAACATATATGCAGAGCTATCTCTAAATTTCATGCAACATCCTTTGAATTTCCTTCATGCTTGGGCGAGCTTCGGGATTTCCTCTTGCGCATCTAAGTGCTACGTCTGTAATCTTAATTTCCTCTTCTTTACTGCAGCCATCTTGAAGTAACCTTCTACATACAGCATGCTGCCTTCCAAATTCTGCTGCATCTTTAGCTCTGTCTTTAATATGTTTCTGCACAATATTTTTTCCATTCTCAATAGGAAGAATTGCAGCATCCTGCATTATCAACTGCAACACAACTATTCCAAAACTGTATGAATCTACCTTCTTGGTTATTTTACTATCTGCAAAGAAACGAAGAAACTAAAATGAATGTTTATTATCTTAAAATATTTGAGTTTATTAATATTTACTAGCTCGTACTAACTCATACTAACTTTTGTGAGGCTCAACTACTTCAGGAGCGCTATACTCTTTGGTATAAGTCTCAGGCATGTTCCCTCCTTCTTTAACAACAGCCCCGAAATCACACAAGAAGGCATTCTTTCCCTAAACAAAGAACAAAAAGACATAGTCATGCACTTAAACAGGCATAGAGGCATAAATGATAAAAAAGAATAGAATGAACAATCAACAAAAAGAGAGAGGATCGTGGAAAAATAATAGACAAACAAAAAATTTTAACTACAAAATAGAAAATCTAAACTTGAATAAATCAGCACTGACCCTATCTATCAATATGTTCTCTGGCTTTAAATCCACGTACACAGATGTACCATTATCATGGAAGTGGACAAGTGCTGCAGCCACTTGCTTCAGAATTTTCATAGTCTCTTTCCAATTAAGACCTGAAAAAGTATATTGCATAAGATGTAATTGACAGGTTAGTCTAGAAAGTACCATGATCAGTATCATATAAACTGTAGTTCAGTCTCTCCTAACCAAATTTCCTTGCTATCACAAATCCTTCTCTAACTCTGACCTTCCCTTCCCCACGTCCTTTGTTCGTGCAACTATTATTCTCTTCATACAATTGCATACGAATTGCACAAGGCATTAAACTATCTTGTATTTCTCTTGCTTATAGCTGAGCAAGAGAAGAGGAACAGAAAGGAATCTGCTGCACTGACAGTCTTAGGATCTTTAAGAATTCAAGAGATTCTACCAAGCACAGCTACAACAATTCTGTTGTGTAAGTGTAGGCTAAAGGTTTCTAAGCTAACATTAAGTAATAAATTCAAATTTGAGTATGAATGAGTAAAATGAACTCAGATTAAGAAGAGCGATAAGATACAGTCATGTACTTAAACATGCAGGTGAAACAGGCACATATATGTGTGAATGCATAACATGTTATGCTTTCTGGAGCTTAAGTATGCAAACTTCATCTCTTTTAGCACATGAATTGAAGTGTCAAAGTATGTTTGACTAGAGTTGTGAAGTAATTCTACTTGATTATAATGTCTGCCTTTGAGTCTACATGCATTCTTTGAATTCTGTCCTATACACATGCTGTATCGCAAGCAGTGAGTGAAATGTATATGCTTAATTCTGTTTTAGTTATGTTAAGAGTTAAGACGTAAACACACTTATTGTAAATATTTTATATCTTAGAATATTTTCTTTATATACTTTATAGTTTAAAATATTTTCTTTGTAAACACTTATATATAGGTTATTATACATACAACATTATTCAAGAAAGCAATAAACATTTTTTCAAATATTTCTCCTTCTTTTATTTTTCTAACATGGTATCAAAGCTATAAGCTCCTGGTTCTTCCTTCTTATCATCATTATTTGGTTTATGAGTTGGATTTTCAAATCTATTCTGGATTTGAAACTTTGTCATTGGGTTCTCTTCTCCTACAGATTTAATTGTTTATTCTCAAGCCATTTACAAAGTATTTTGTTGAGTTGTTATTTCGATTTTGGCATCTATTTCATCATATTTTTAGAGATTTTTCTAGTATTTTGAGTTCTATTGATTCAATAACAAGTTTTGAAAGAACTGTGATTCATCCTACTGCTGCAATGGTTGCCAAAAAAGAGATAACCTATTGTCAACCCAGAATCTATAAAACAGGTGATATCAAATCTTCTTAATGCTCCTGCTTTCTTATCTGCTGCTTCAGGTACTAAATCTTGGTATTTTGATTTTGCATGTCTTCATCTACTACTCATTTCTCGTCAATGTTACCAAATAATTCCTTTCTTGACATTTATTCTACTTATGGCACCCCTATGATTGTGTCCAAACCACTAACCAATACCAAAATCCATTCTACTAAGTAAAAATTTGTCTTCTTGATATTTTAAAAATCTTATTTCTTCAGTTTGTGGGAGATACGATGAATTACTAACGTTCTTTAAAACATTTGATTTCTAGTTCTTCATCAGTTCATGAGAGATGATGAATTAAGGCTGGGAAATAAGAAAGGTAAGATGTATACCAGCACATTGGCAGCAACAATAGCTCACGCCAGGTCCAATTGTAGAGCTGGGAAACATACTCGCCATGTGGTTTGCTTGATATTCATTGCCTTCTATGTTCCTTGTTGCAATTGAGACATTAGATCGAATACCTCAGAATATGTAATAGTGGTCCAAACTCTTGAGCCAACAAACTGTTAAAGCCAGTACCTGGTAACAATGCGCTTAGAACCCATCTTTCCATGTAATGTTAATGGTGAAGACGATTGTAATGAGGATAGATTTCGGTATACATTTGCCCAAATCTGTACATGGAAAACTTGCCTTTTAGTGAATCAAATTTATGTTGAGAATGGGGTGACCGAATATTTGAAACTCAACTGTTCTGATCAATGTACAATAGGTTTAACAGAGGCGAAAACAGGTCCGGTAGAGATAAAGAACTCCACAACGGTGTAGCCAGGCACGTCGATTTCTTATAATATGGGACCATTTCTTAATGAATTATATCTGAATAAATCCAGTTTGGAGAACTAGCTCTTCAGAACCGATAACTTAAAAGAAGAAAATAGAGAACTAAACTTGGAGCTCCATGTTGAAGTATTGTACTTCACTCCTTGGCGACTGGTCTGTTGTGGTGCTGTACTAACATCGCAAGTGCCTGTAATTGGAGTACCTTTTTTTGGGAGAAAAATCTTTATAAATTAGATAAAAATTTTAGATCAATTTTCTTCTAAATTTGTTAAGCCAAGGGACCGAGATGCAATTAACCAATTTTCTTAAAATTTACTTACCCAACAAGTTACGTGTCACGGATGAATGGCGGGAGAGATGAGAAATTTTTTTTTTTTTAACAGGCAGGATGAGAAACTTGGGGTCAACATCATAAATGGCTTGGGTTAGTAGACATTTTCTTTGGGACAAGAGTAATTACATTGCAAATTAAGAGGGGAATTAATGCTAACAAATGGCCAACAAATCTAAGAGCGCATTCTAGGGTATTCAAGGCTACTAAGCTTTTTATCATTGCGCCGTAACGTTGTTGGCGTTAGTTGGAGAAAAAGTATAGACAAATGTGTTAATTTTGTTTTTTTTGTTTTTTTT